TTAGCATAAGATCTTTCATTTTTTGGACTAATAATCATTTCAAAAGCTCATTGTCGATAGCCATGTCTCCTCAATCATTCCAGACGTTTCTCTCTATTTTCTATTTCAAATTCTTTCTGTTTTGTCAAGCTCAACACAAGACGAGTATGAATTGTACTCTTGTCTTTGCGACGAACCAATTTTGGCTGTCCTGTTTTGTCTTTATCTGATTTACACTTTTATCTTTGTTTGCTTTGGTCTACTTTCTTTAGGTTTCATCTGGATTTTTCTACTTGATATTGACATAGGTCATTACATTTCTGTCTGTTTTTTGCCTTATGTAGCATGGACAATTAAAATTGTCCTCTAAGTTTTTATTATGATTCATTTGAAATATTTTGTAATTGGCTCGACGAGTTCTTCTTAGAGCTGGGGGATATTCAGGGATATTTCTTTTTTTTTCTTTTTCTTTTTTAGGTACCGGGGATCGCACTCTGGACCTTGCGCTCGAGTGGCAGGCGGTGGCACCACTTAAGTGTACATAAAGAATGCCTGTTCTTTTTCTTTTGAGACAGGGCCTCACCTTGTAATGCAGGCTGGCCTTGAACTCACTATGGAGCCCAGGCTGGCCTGGAACTCAAAGCAATCCTCCTGCCTCAGCCTCCCAAGTGCTGGGATTACAGGAGTGCACCACCACTCCCAGTTCGAGTAAGCCTTTGATTTCTTTCTTTTGAACTTGCTTTGGTTAGAACTTCTAGGGCAATGGAAAGGAGAAATGGCAGGTGCTGATGTCCTTTCCTTGTCCTGACAGAGGAAAAGAATTCGGTCAAACAGTATTGAGTGTGATGTTCACGGTGGGTATTTCACATCTGACTTTTTGTTATTTTGAGGTTGCTTCCTTGTCTTCCTACTGTGTTGACTGGTTTTGTTGCTGTTGTTATAAAAGGGTGCTGAATTATCACTTACTGCAGCACTTGGAGGAATCTTGTGCTTTTTGCCCTGCCTCTTGTTGATTTGGTGCATGACATCAGATTGATTTTTCAGTGATTAAATCTTCTTTGCATTCTCTAAGAAAATCCCCGTTGGTCAAAGGCTTCTCATCCTCTGTTGAACTCGGTTTGCTAGTGTTTTGTTCAGTATTTTTGGATCACATTCTTCCAGCATGTTAGTTGGAGGTTCGTTGTGTTTGTTTGTTTGTTTTTATTTGTGGGTCATCTGTCTGACTTTGGTGTGAGGGTAATGCTGGCCTCTTAAAATGAATTGCAAGTGTTCCCACCTCTTGTGTTTTGGAAGCGACTGAGGAAGATCAGTGACTGTTTGTTATATGTTTGGTAGCATTCTTCAGTGAAACCATCTGGCCCTGGCTTGTCCCTGTAAGGAAGGTTATGATGACAGATTCAGTGCCCTAACTAGTTATAGGTCTGTTCAGATTTTTAACTTCATCACGAATCAGTGTTCACAGGTTATACATTTCTCAGAATTTATCCATATCTTCTAGCTTATCTAATTTGTTGATGTATAATTGTTTCCAGTACAGTGTTCTCTTATAATCTTTTAACTTTTCTTGGCAGCATCAGCAGTCAAGTCTCTTCTTTCATTCTGCATGTAGTTATTTGAGTATTCTCTATTTATTTTTTCTCACTGGTCTACTGAAGAGTTTGCCAACCATGTCGATCTTTTCCCAAAAGCGGATCTTTGTTTCTGTTGGTTTTCTATTATCTGTTTCATTTTTTTTCTTTTCTGTCCTCCACTCATCACTACTGCCTCCCTTGAGCTGACTTTGGTTTAAGGGTTTTTCTTTTTCTACTTCTTATAAGATAAAGTTGGCTTGTAGAATTGAGACTATTTTTCCTTTCTAATGTGCGCATTTGCAGTTCTTACCGCCACCCTTCACAGGGCTTCCCTTGTATCTCATAAACTGAGGCATATTGTGTGCTGGCTTTCATTTGTCTCTAGCTAGTTTCTGAGTTCCCTTGTGGTTTTCTTCTTCGACCTGTTGGCTATCGAAAAGGGTATTGCTTAATTTTCACATTTTTGTTAATTCTCCACTTACTCTTCTGGGATTGATTTCTCTAGTTTAAACCCACTGTGGTCAGAAACGGTAACTTGCTATGATTTCAGACATCTTCAATTTATTCAGATCCTCAATGTAAAGTCCAAAAAGCTAAAATGAAGAACTTCTGGTAGTGAATAAGTGCTGGTGAACATGCAGAAGTCAAACGACTCACTTCTCTTACACTGAAAGTAATAACCACACACAAAGGAACGTTACCTGGATTTCATCAAACTCAGCAATTCTACACTTCATCAGTAGGAGAATGAAATGGCAGACCACCGATGGTGAGAATAGGTCTGCAATATACCCACCCGATAGAGAAAATGGAGCAAAATGAGGAGAGGACACTTCCTTCATTATGAAAAAGACAACCCAATAGTCAAGGGGGAAACAGTCCATAAGAATATACCTCTATGTACAAGAAAACAAGATACACAAAAGGCCAAGAGAAGATGCTGGTTGAAGGTCACAGACTGAGGCATGGGCAGAGGTGGGTCAGAGGCCTCAGGAAAGTCCCTTTCTCCTGGGAGTATGTTTACTCATGCGGTCGATGAGGGTGGACAGGACCCCCAAAGCATTGTGGCGGGTGGTGGTGCAGTGGGACCTGATGTGTTGAGCCTGGTGGGCAGGAGAGTGGGTATCGGGAGAGAGTGTGGGGCGGGAGAGGGTGTTGTCCCGAGGACACTCAGCTCCTCCATAAGATCAACAACACCCTGCAAGAGGCAGAGCAGGCATCCTGCTCTCAGAAGGTCCAGGGCTTGAATCCCCATGCTGCCACCGTGGCCAGAAGACTTCAGGCCAGTCTCTTATCTTTGGGAGCCTCAGGTCCCTCCTCCAGGGAATGGACCCTACTCCTACTACCCCTACTCCTCTCAGGGCTGCCTGATAAAGGAAAAGGACACTCAGACAAGAAGTGGTACACGAATACTCAGAACAACTTTCCATATAATCATCAACAGCTGCAGACTAGTGACTGGACCACTGGTTGTCCACGAACAAGTGCAGTAGGGATGAGAGAGAGCAGGCCTGGGCTGAGGAGAAGGCGATGCGACCTGGCCAGTGCCGTGTGCGACACTGACACAAACCTGGCGCTTACCAGAGTCTCAGAAAACTCTGGCTGACAGGAATCACAGGCTTCTGTGGTGAGCATCTGTGAAAGGTCTGGGTTGGGCCAGAGGGAGGCCTGCCTTGGTCTTCCTTTGATGCTCAGAGTGAGGAGGTCGGCTGTTTCCCAAGGCCATCGTCCTCCCTGCCCAGTCTGCCCTCTCACTGCTCCCTGTGAAGTGTGGAGACTGGGCCCCTAGTGAAGCGGGGGAGATAGGCTGGGCCCCTAGGCAGGGGAGATAGAAGGGTGAGTGCCCAGAAAGCACAGAGCCTTGGGAAATGGTGCCCTTCCCAGCACTGTGTCCCTGAGGGTTGCTTCCTCCTTCTTTCCAGATAAGCTAAGCTGCCTGTCTCCAATGGCCTCTGGACGCAGTGCTCAAACTTAGACCAGAGGCTGCCCCACCCTAGAGAAGGCATGTGCCTACTGCATGCACACAAATGTCCTGAGAGGTCCCACTCACACTGTGTGTACCTTATCACGCCAGGCCTCCCGGGGTCCCAGGCAGCTCTCATCTCTCCCACAGTCCCAGTCGTAGACCTGGACAGGTGGAGAGAAGACGACTCCGTGTCTCCGTGTCTGTCTGAGTGCGTGACACCGTGCATGTGTGTCTGTGTGTTGTGATCCAATGAAAGTTTGGGACTCAGTGCTCGTCAGAATACCAGAAAGTCCGTGTGGCAGAGCCTGGACCTCAGCTCCAGACAGGATCCCTGCACAGGCCACCAATACGGAGACCAATCCTACAAGCCTGTGTAAAAAGCGGGGCGGTCAGGTCCTGAGTGTGCAGCCTCCCCAGTCCCAAACTCAAAGGGGCTCCAGTGCAGTTCCCCGCTCTGCTGTGGAGCTCCTGCAGTCTTTAATCACTTTTGAGCAATCACACCCGAGCTTTCATTGTTCCCCAGGCCTCACGATTTATGTAGCCAGTCTGGATCAGGATCGGGACTGGCTGCGATGGGAGCCTCTTTTAGGGGCAACAGAAGCAAGCGGGGCACAGGGCGTGGGTCGCTGACACCGTTGTTTCTGGCCTGGTCATCTGGCTGTCTGTCCTGCCAGCTTGTGGACATGACCGGAGAACTCGGGGCATCCCCAGACACCATGCATGCCTGCTTCTGAGCCCTTCCCAGAACCACCTGTCTGTCCTCACTGCCTTGCACCTGGAGGGTCTGCAGCCTCATGTGCCCCATTGCCTCTGGGTATCAGCCAGCACCTTGGCCTGGCCTCGGCCTCCCCAGGAGGGCCCTGCTTCTGGGGAAGAGCAGGGAAGCCCCAAACGGGCCTCCGTTTCCTCGCTGGCAATGGGCTGTCTAGGCGTGCCTAACACTTTGCTCTGGTAACCTCCTCTTCTCTCAGCAGCTCTTGCGCTGGCTGCCCAACACCAGGGTAAAGCCATCGTTTATAAAGCCTGCCTCATTTTCCCCAAGACTCGGCCCCAAGGAGGAGACCCAGAATTGTCTGGATGGCGAACCACGGCTTTTGGAACCTCATCTCCTCGAAGATGGGGGCTGAGGCGTTGAGTGAATGCCAGTGAGTGCCTGTGGACCCCATTGCTGGGTTGGGGGGGGGCGCAACGTGTGGCATAAACCTCCAGTCCTCCATGCCATTCCTTCTCCTGCCTGCTCTTGGCATCTAGCCAGTGCTGCTGAGCTGCCTTGTGAGACTCAATCACATAACCACGTGGACTGGGGCTCCCCTATATTCATGGCCTCCCCACTCACCTGGAATACGCACACTCCCAGCATCCCACCCAGACCCGTGCACCTCTATCCACAGGGATGGGGCCCGCTGATCCCAGGGGTCCTGAAGAGCCCAGCCACTGGCCATTTATAGGACCCCCCTGTGTAGGTAAAGGACGAGACATCCACATTGATTTGCAACTTTAATGTAACACTGATACCAAAACCATGAACACACAAGAAAAAGCACACGAGGAAAGCAAGAAGAACAAGGGAAGCTTCATCTTCACACTCCCTGCAACGCACAGGGAGAAGCGCCCAGAGTGCTGGGTGAGAGGGCCTCTGAGGAGGCCGTCCGGCTGGGTGAGGACGACCACCGCAGCTCCTCAACGCTGTCTGCAACATGAGGAACGAAAAGGAACATGTACACATCAGAACCCACAATAACCTGTGAGGGGGACAAACAATGACACGAGTGTGTTTCCTTGGGCTCACTGCTGCCCCACCCCAGCCCTCCAGAGGCCTCCCGCTGACATCACCTAGCTGGTCCACAGCTCTCCCAGAGGGTCTCAGGTCCCCGTGACAATCTTACTGGATCCAGGAGAAGAAGCTGGCACCAGCTCTAGCGGCATTTCTGGTACGGATGGTGGAACTGGTGCTGGGACCATCTAGGATGCTGGTACTGGCCCCAGGGTTGGTACCACTACTGACACCAGCTCTCCATGTGGCTCTCCTGTTGGTGCGGCTGCTATTCAGGATGTACTGATGGTACCTGGCCCAGAAAGCAAAGGGGATCCTGGCCCAGGCGTCGCCAAAATCCCCGTCCTCATCCCAGGTCAGCAGTTCGGCCTGTATGTCGTCCCAGCTCCACCGTCCAATCAGAGCTTCGTCTCCGATGTTCATCTGGGCCCTCATTTGGGCCCTGGCATGTTCCTCGGCCATGTCCATGTCCATCGTCTTGAAAGCATCGTCCACAGCCTCCAGAAAATGAGCCTTCCATTCCCGGGGGTCTCGGTTCTGGTTCTGAGGTGGGAAACAGCAGCCAGCCATAATGACAGGGTTACCCCACATTCAAGGAACACCTCCTGCTGGCCACCCCTTCCCATGGGCACACTGTCAGGCCCGCTCGCACGCCTGCTCCCACCTTCTCCAAGGACCAAGGAGAGGGTGGGCCCTGGCCTAAAAATCCCGGGTTCCTACCGTTCTGAGCCAGAGCTGGGAATACGCCCCACCCCCCATGCTATGACTTCTGTGACCCCTGCCCAAGAAACTCAGGAACCTCTCAGAGCCTCCCGAGGGGAAAGGTGGTGACCAGGACACAAACAAAGCAGGGCAAGCACCACCCTGCTGCTGGCACCTGACAAAGACGCTCTCCAGTACCTGGGCAATGAATCTCAGGACCCTCATCTTGCTGGTCTCGTGACAGGCTCGCAGGCCCCAGAGGAACTCATACTCTGGTGGGTTGCTGCTGGGGATCTTCTTGTATTCCAGGTACCTGAGTGTGAGAGGGAATCACCCTTTGCTTCTAGCCAAGCTGACCTGTGGTTGAACTGATGCGCTCCCTGCAGCCCCTCCTCAGCCAGGGTGCTGCAGCCCACCTCCCAGAAGAGGACCACCTGGGTCCTCAGCCCTGGACTCCTGCACGACCTCACTCCCAGGACCTCAGCTGAACGACAGCGACAGCGAGGCCTCCATCGCCTCAGGACGGTGATCCTGTCTGGAAGCCCTGTCTAGGCGCAGAGGCGACACATGTAGGGCATTTGCTCACAGGGAGGACACAAGTGCTGTGCCCCTCTTCACAATGGCCCCGGATTCCTGTTGGGTGTGTTGTAAACAGAGAAGCCATTCTTCGGGCCCCCTGCTCTGAGCACACCCCATGGCAAGGGTCCCCAAGGAGGGCTAGCTGAGCCTGGGCAAGATCCACACTACACAAAATGACCAGAAAAGAAGAAGAAGCAACATTCAGCCAAGGGCAGCTCCACGCACACCCTGAGATTCCTCTGCACCCCCCACCCCCCACCCTCCTGTCTCTCATGCTGGGGGCGCTGGGCAGTGTGTACACTGGGCCCTGGCCTGAAAACCAAGAGAACTGGGCTCTTGGCCCTACCAGCTGTCGGCTAGGCTCAGAAACTGCCACCTCTCTGAGCCCCAGGCTGCTCAGGAGGAACACAAGGGAAACTACTGTGCCCGCCTGCGGGGCAGGTGCTCAATGACATGGTGCTCGTATCATCCCCTACACGAACCTTTTAGAGCTGTTGATAATAACAAACAGCCAGCTGCGGCTCACACGTCATAGGTTCCCTACCCCTCCCCTGCACCCTGTCCTTGGCTGTCTGGGAGTTGCTCCCTTTCCCCAAGACAGCCCCAGAATTCTACTCCCTCTACACTCTCACATGCTGACCCCACTCATGGCTCCAGTTTAAAATGTGAGACTGGGAATGGCTTTCTCTAGTAGACTGGCACCCGGGAACACTGAGAGCTGGACAAGGCGAGCTCAGTCACTACTTACTTCTGCTTCACAAAGTCATCTGTGATGAGCTTCCGCAGATCACCAAGGAAAGGGTGCCTCACCCTGAGGGCAAACAAAGGAATCCATGACTGCTGAGGGAGGTCACTGGTGTGAGTGGGTGGGAGCACTCCCCAGCTCCATCCCGAGCTTCCCAGCCCACCGGGCATCCCCATGGAGGCAGCCGGGGCGCATGGCAGAGGCCAGAGGACAGCTGTTCAGGGGTGCTCGAGGGAGGGGCTTGATGGAAGGCCTTGCTCTCCTTTGCCTTTCTGAGCTCTCCTCTGGGGACAGTGAGCTCAGAGGGGCTGGGAGCTCGGGACGGATACCCCCATCCAGCCTGATGAGCTCCTCTCCTCTCTACCGAGCCGAGGGCACCCTACTCCCCTGCACCAGACCCCAGGCCACTGCAATCCCGGGACCTCGTCTGCCACAGGATGGCACCGAGGGGCAGGAGCCGAGGAGCCAGTCATACCCAGGCCGAAGTCCCATCTTGCGGAGTGCCTCCCAGAGGACAGCTGTGAGGGGAGATGGGGTACAAGAGTTTGGCACACGAAGATGGGACCGTGGCCAAATCCCCAGCTGCAGGGCTCACACTCACCCTCGCTGGCACGGTTGCCATTCATGAAAACGATACCCAGAATCACCAACAGTAGACTCAGCCGGGGAGTGTCCTTGGTCCTAAGGGTGGACAGAGAGGGATGCCACTTGTCAGAAGCCACTCCCCCCACTCTTTGGGAAGGTCTCCCTGGAGGGCTACTCTGCCAAGGCCAAGCCAGGCACGTGGTAGCCAGGGACAAGCTGCTTTCCTCCGAATCTTTGGGGAGGCCAGCAAAATCCCACAGCACCAAGGCCTTGCCCCAGAATGCCACTTCTTTTCTCCAGCAGTCACCAGGCACAGCGACCACAGAGGAAGAGCGGGGGTGGACCCTCGAGCCCAGTGGTCCTGTTCCCCCAAGAGGTTGAGGGGTGGGGATGGGACACCGCCCAGGAAGCCACTACCTTGGTTCCCTTCCTTACTTCCCGAGGAGGCGAGCGGAAGAATCCCGCGTGCAGACAAGAATGTACAGGTGTTCCTCCTTGTCAATTTCCTTTAGGTGGATCCCAAACTTCTACAGGGCGAGAAAAGTGAGACCAAACCCCCTGCTGGAGGCACCGTGCCTGCTCTGAACGTTTCCTCATCCCCTCATCCGGGAGTCGAAAGCACTGGGCAAGGCCAGGAGAAGACGGGTCAGCAAGGGCTGCCTCGTGGGTGCTCTGGTGCCGGCAGAGGCAGCAGGGACGCACTGCAGGGACCCACTCAGAGAGCACGACAGAAAGGCGCCAGGAGAGGGGCATGTGTTACATTACCGGAGGTGCGCCGGAAGCTCAGCGGTAGAGGACCACGGGAGGTTTCCGGAGCACTCGGGGCAGGAACTGGGCCTGGAAGGGCTGCGGGCTTCCCCACTCCTCCCATCCCCCCACCCACCTTCTCCAGAGTGTATGTGGCTCGTTCAATGATCTCGGGGAAATGTTCGTCGTATTCTCGGATGACGTCCTTCACCATGTCTGCGGGAGGGGGAGAGGTGGGGAAGGGGACTGGGCTGAGCAGGGCCTCGAGGGCTGCAGCCCCAAGGCCAGTCGTGCGGAAGGAAGGCAGCCAGTCGGGCCCCTGTCCTGCGGAAATGGAGAGACCCTGCCACTGCCTGGAGGGTGGGGCACATACGCAAAGAGAGGCCTGCAGAGCTGCAGGGGCTGGAAGAGGGCCACAGGTGCCTACCTGAGCGCTTGATGGGGATCTTCTTGTAGTCCTTGATCATGAGGTATTTCACCAACTTATTTGCCTGCAGAAGGAGGAGCGTGTGGGCAGATCAAGGCCTGGGTGACCACAGAGTGCTGGACCATGGGGGAAGAAAGGAGGCAGATGGGGAAAGCGGACTTCTTACCCTCTCTTGCAGCAGAGTCACGTTGCGGGGGGGCAAGCACAACACGTGCCTCGAGGGTATCTGGGACCTCAGGGGCATCGGGGGCCGAGGGGCCACCTGAGCCCGGGCTGTCACTGGGGGCTGCTGCGATGTTCTCCAGGTTGCTGGGACTGCAGGAGGCTCTCTCTCCTCCTCGCTGCTCTCATATTCGTCATCCAGGTGTTTGGACTGCAATAGCATCAGAGAGAGGAGCAACCCGAGGCTTCCGGACTCCCCAGGCAGAAGCACGCAGCACACACCTTACCCATAGCAGGCACTTGGCAGCAAAAGTAGTACGAGCAGTGGCTGGCACGTGCTGAGAGCTTACTAAGCGCCAGGCTCCGAGCCAACCTCTTCTCCCACCAGCCCCGAGGGCAGAAACTACTCGGAGTCAAAACATACTCCACAAGCATGTACCCAAGAGACGTGGCCTAGGTGAGAGGAGAGGAGCGACAGGGTGGGGAGCAGAGGAGAAAGGGGGAGAGCATCGGGAAAGGAGAGGAGCTGGGGGGCTGGGCAGGTGGTAGGGGCTCACCTTCTTCGTCCTCTTGCCTCCCATCCTGGCCCAGGGCTCACCACTGTGCTGAGCAGTGGCAGCTGCCCCCTCAGGCTCAGGGATGCTTGTGGCCATCTTGGTGTTGGCAGCAGCTGTGGCCCCAACATTCGGAGGCTCCACCCACCGAGTCTTGGCCACAGCCTTCCCAGACTTGGTGGTCTTGGGTCGGGTGGCTGCCACTTCCTTGGCAGGCACTGCCTGGGACATGCCAGAGGCAGCACTGGGGGCCTCTGTGGCAGCCTCTTGGGCTGGGGCAGGTCTCTTGGGGCGCGTGAAAGCCGTGCCACTGACACCTGCTGGCTGAGTGAAATCAAAGACATCGTTCTGGCCCAGGAAGGCTGCCTGGGGCCGGGTGGCATCCGTCTCACTGGCACTTGGAGCCGGACAGAAAGCACAGGCAGTACCAGGACCCTCAGCACAGGCAGTACCAGGACCCTCGGCGGCAGCCTGGTGGTCCGGGGTGGCCGTCTGGGACTGTGTGGAGATTGTTGGAGCTCCAGGGGCGGCCATCTCACTGGCGACTGACACCTGGGACGTCTGTGGTGAGGCCAGGATTGCCTCAGGGGTGGCCCCCTGAGCCTCGGCATAGGTCATAGGCTGGGCACTGTCTCCTGTGGCTGGCAGTGGGGGGATCAGGTGGTTAGCCACCACCTGAGTGAAGGACCTACGGGCAGCAGTGGCAGCGGCCCGAGCAGCTCGGTTGGAGGCAGCAGAGCGGGCCACATTGGCGGCACGGGCCTCCGTCTCATTGGCGAGGGTGTCCGGATCCAGCTGCAATGCCTCCACCAGGGTCTGGGCCAGCACAGGGTTTTCCAGTTCCCAGGGCTCATTCTGCAAGGCCAGAGGGCAGGGGAGGGGAGGACAGACAACTCTACACACTGGCACGGTGCTCTGCCTGTGGCCCAGTTTCTTCCCACCAGGCAGCACTGGCCACCCCAAGGACTTCCAGAAACCCCTCCTTTAGAAGGGCAGGGAAGGTTTGGGAAAGCTGGCATGCCTTCCCCACTCAGTCCTCCCTTCCACTCCTCGCCCCCCCCACCCCCCGCCCCCCACACTGGGGAGAAAGCCCAGAGCAAGCAGGTGGCCAAGAAGGGGCCTCACAGATAAGATGTGAAAGCCGGAACCCAAGGTGTCAAAAGCTCTGAGCAGATGGATGTCAAAGCTGGTGAGGGTGCCATAGCCACCAAAAGCACCGAACTCTTCATAGTCGTTGCCTCCAACCATCTCTTCCTCCCTGACTTGGTGGCTCCCCTCATCCATGTCTTCGACACTGGAGTTTGCAGATTGCACACTGTAGCTTCCCTCAGCCATGCTGTGGGTCCCAAGGAGCCGATAGCTCTGCCTCAGGGGCAAGGGGCAGGACCCAGTGGCGGGTAGTTATCTCTGGAGAGGTGAGGGGCAGCAATCATCAGGTTACTAGGCTGCACCAGGCAGCACGAGTGGGGGGAGCGGGGTCTACAGGGACAGAGCCTTGGCAGAGGGATGGAAGTGATCTCAGAGGGACCTCACCCCACCCCACCGAAAGGGGAGCTTAGGATGATGGGCAGGCTCCCCACTCCGGTGGCTAGATTTGAGTAAGGGCTGTGTCTGAGGGTTCAGGTCCCAAAAGTCCCAAAGGAGATGCACTGAAACCTGGAGAAACAAAGGGCTTGAATTTAAGGGCCAGAGCTGGAGACCATGATCACGGGGATGGGTGAGGGGCGGGGGGGGGGGGGGGGGGGAAGAGGAGCAAATAGGAGGGCTCAGAGAACAGGGTCAGCAGAAAGCTCTGGGAAACGGAGGTCCAGGAGGCGGGGGGGGGGGGGGGCGCTCAGCTGATTCTGGTCTAGGTTGAGCTCAGAGGATGGGAGCCTTGGACCTAGGTAAGGCTTGAACTGGATGCCTGGACAGCTGGACAGCTCAAAGTCCAGGGACTGGGGACTCCAGGAAGGCGCGAGCAGTCAGCTCTGCCTGAGTAATCTAGGAGTGGATGCGGTGGGGGTGGGGCCTCGGGTCTAAAGAAGCTCTGCTCAGGGTCTGTCATAATGGTTGGGACTGCAGGCTTCTGTACAAGTAGGCTCGGATCGGGGCGCTTGGGTCTGATGGTCGTGGTGGTGGGGGTCCTATCTAGACGCTGGGTCTAAGGAGGTTCCGGGTCTGAGTGCTAGGGCTTTGTTCAGATCCAGAGGGCAGGGAGAGGGCACAGCGTGTGGGCTTGCACTCGTTCTCGCCCGGTCCTGTCTGGGGCTGGATCCTTACCTTCCCTGGGGCTCCAATGGCGTCCGTGCTCAGCACCAGGAACCCCGCAGCCGCGCCCTCGCCTACTGCTGCCAGCACAGCAGCTCGGACCACCCCGCCCCTTTTCTCCGCGCACCCGCCGAGGCTGGGGAGCCTGCGCATGCGCGGACCCCTCCAGCCGGTCCGCTTTCCCAACAAAAGCCCTTTCCTCCAGGTCCCCAGTGCGCATGCGATTCCCCGGCTGGGTGGGCTGCGGGAAGGATGGGGGGGGGCTCGAAGGGGGCGCTTCCCGCCATATATCCTTCACCCCTCCTCTTCAGACAGCCAGATAGCACATTCATCCCCTGCAGTGCAGCTAAGCCCACCCATTCATCTGCCCTCAGTAGCCCACTCTTGCACAATGCTTTTCAGTTCTGCCTCTTCACCCAAACTCCTCCAGCCTGGCCCTGTATACGTTTATGTCCCACCTGCCCAACATGGCCTCATGAAAGAGGTCTCCAGCTGGGTCTGTAACTGCAACAAGTGGAAACCTCCATCCTCCGGGGCCAGAAAATGGAAATGGCCAGTGGATGGACGCTCTCCTTGTGTTGTGTTGGCCTCCACTATCCATCTCCAGGTCTCCCAGACACACTGGGAGCATTTGCTTCCCCTGCTGCCTTTTATGCAGCTTTGTAGGTCTCAGCGGGGCAGGGCCAGTGCCTGGGCTTGTTTTCCCTTCGCAGCAGCCCTGGGAGGTGGATGTCAGCATCCCCATCTTACAGACCAGGAAGCTGAGGCGCACACACACAGCCCATGAACCAGACATGGTCGCTGGGCTAGCAAACAGAAAATGCAAAATTTGTGCCTGGGTCCCCCTGACTGCAAAGCCCACGTCCTGCTAGTGCTGCTCTCCTCCTCCTTTTGAATGACAGGCCTCACCTACCCAACATCTCCCAAACAAGTAACTTCTGGGGTAAAATGTCCTCAGTCCTATCTTTCATCCCGCCTGAGACCTCTCCCAGAAGTTTCACAGTCCATGAAGTTAGCAGCTGAGTTATCTCCTAAGCCCTTGAACTGATCTCTCAGTCCCTTGATGTCAGTTTCTCCTGGTCAGGTCAGTCCAATGAAACCGTCGGCAGCGCCTGTTTGGTATATGTGCTGCCCAAGCGAGCACAGATATGGAACGCTTCACGAATTTGCGTGTCATCCTTGCGCAGGGGCCATGCTAATCTTCTCTGTAACGTTCCAATTTTAGTATATGGGCAGTGCCTGTTATTGAGAGAAGTGGTGTTACCGGTGGCCTTCCGCTGCAGTCAGGCATATGTGTAGACTGATCCGTCAGATATTTGACCAGAGTCACTTGTGCGGGTACTACAGACACAAAGGTTAACGCTTAGAGCACACTCAGGGTTTGAGTCCAGAGGGCAGCTGGTCCAGGTTTCCAGATTTGAGTCGGAAGCTTCTTCAAATGATGTGAGGACAGGCGATGGCAGTCGGGCAGACTTTCCTGGTTTCCAGTTTGCGTCAGGAGTTGCAGCCATCCTCCTGAGTAGCTCGTTCGGCCCCGGGTACGAAGGTTGTCAGTGCATCAACCTTTGTGGTGGCTTCTCTTGACTCTGTGAGGAAAATTTATTTTGTGCTTCCTGCGTCCCAGGCACCATTACAAACGCCTTATATATGGTAATATTTCCCTGTAGTAACCCACTGGGTCCTCACAAGAATCTTTCATGATAAGGCAACTAGTTTTCCTCATTTTGTAGATGAGAACACCGAGGAACACAGAAACTTGCCCAAGGACCTAGGGTAGTGAGTCATGGAGATCCTGTGCCTATATACAAACCATTGTGTGAAAACACTTAACGTTTTCCTAGTACAGTATAACCTCTAAATAGTTTTAGTTTTGTGAACTGGTTACATTATTTTTAAATTAAGTTTATTTCTACACAAACCTTTTTGGTTTTGGTTTGTTTGGGGGTTTTTTTGGTACCGGGGATCGAACTCGGGACCTTGTGTTTTCAAGGCAGGGCAGCACCACTCAGCTAAATCCCCAGCCCACCTAAGTTAAGTTTATTTTTAACTGACACATAAAAACATATAAATAGTATAAACAGCAGTGGGATGCCATGTGATGTTTTGATATGTGTATACATTGTGTGATGTTTATTTTACTGTTTTCTATTTTCAACTGATTTATAAAAGCATAAAATCGTATGTTAATGGGGTTCCATGTAAAGTTACACACACACACACACACACACACACACACTGCATGACATTTAAATTAGTCGAACATTTATCTCCTCAAACAGTTCTCATGTCCTCTTAGTGAAAACATTCAAAATTCTTTCTTCTATCTTTTTGAAATATGAGTATATAACTGCTGTCTGTAGTCACCCTACTGTGCAATAGCACACCAGAAGTTCTTGCTGCAGTGTCTGGTTCCATCCATGCTTCCCCTAGTGACAATATTTCATTCTTTTTAAAGGCAGAGTAATAGTCCATTGTCTCATTTATCGGTTATTGGACCTTTCTCTTGATTCTTTTTCTTGGTTGTTGTCAACAGTGGTGCAGTGAATTTCAGAGTACAAATATATCTTTGTCATTCTGATTTTGCTTTCTTTGGTTATATACCCAACACTGGAATTTCTGGATAATTTCTTGTACTGGTTTTAAAACACTCAGAACAAGGGAATTGGAAAGAGTTCCAGGAAATAAAAGCACATGTATTCCATAATTTTCATCCAGGGCATCAGGAAATAACATTAGGGATAAAGAGTAGTTCTCGTTGAACTGTGACTATGAAAGTGGATATGCTCACGCAAAGGACTTAAATTGAATCCTTTTCTTAACTAAAAAACACACATCAACTTTAAACAGATGAAAGTATTAGATATAAAACCTGAAAGTATAAAACTCTTTAAAGAAAACTTAGGGAGCAAACCCCTTGACATCGATCTTGTCAATGATGCTTTGGCTTTGACACCAAAACCACAGGCTAGAAATATTAAAATAAACAAGTGCGTCTGCATCAAACTAAAAAGCACAGCAAAGAAATAATGAGCAAAGTAGGAAAGCCATCTACCAAATGGAAAAAATATATTTACAAACTATGTATCTCACGAAAGATTCAACTTCCAAAATAGACCCGTAAGTACCTCATACAACCCAATAGCAAAGAAACAATCCAGTTTTGAAAAATAGGCAGAGAACCCAAGTACACATTGTTCCAAAGAAGGCATAAAAATGGCTAACGGATATGTGGGAATATGTTTACCATCACCAGTCATCAAGAAAATGCAAAGAAAAGCACAATAGCTATCATCTCACACCCGATAAGATGATTATTATTGAAAAGACAAGAAGTCGTAGTGATGGAAAGTGCATAGGAAAAAGCGAATCTTTGTATATTGCTAATGGTAGTACAGATTGGTATAGCCATTATGGAAAACAGTACAGAAATTCTTCAAAAAATAAAAATAGAATTGCCCTATGACTCAGCAATTTCACCCTGAGTATATACCCGAAGACAAGGAGATCAGTATGTCAGAGACATCTGTACTCCCCTGTTCATTGTAAGTTGTTCTCAATAGCGAAGACATGAAGACAACCTAACCTGGGTCCACCAACTGATGAATGGATGATGAAAATGTGATATAGAGATCATATACATTATTACGCATAATGATATATGTAATTACATGTGAACCATACAAAGAAGAAATCCCACTTGTGACAATCCCACTATTGAACTAGAAGATAGCATGCTAAGTGAAATGATCTAGACACAGAAAGACAACTGTGTATTAAATCACATATGTGGCATCTAGGACAATGATTGTTAGGGACCGTTCGGGTAGGGATTTCGACATGCTGGAAAATTACACAATCTTTCTGTTTTAACATGAATGAGTTCTGGGGGGGGGGTCTGGTCTACAGTATGTTAACTATAGTTAACAAAATATTGTATTATATAGTTGAAATCTCTAAACGAGCATATTTTAAGTGCTCTCACCACATCCAAGAAGTAATAACTGAGAGGTGATGCATGTGTTAGTTGACTTCATTTTGGTAACATTTCATGAACTGAAATACATCAAATTATCATGTTATACACTTTAAAAGCATTTAATATTTTTTGTTAGTTGTGTCTCAGTAATGCTGGGAGCGGGGGTGGGGGGGGCGTAGAAATTCAGAGTATGTTAAAGCTCTTAGGAAGACTGGCCGTGACCATTCAGGCCAATGAAATGTTGCATGTCATTCATGCTACTTGTAATTTAGTCAGTAGTGTGTGTGTGTGTGTGTGTGTGTGTGTGTGTGTGTGTGTATACATGAATGTGTGTGCAGGAGAGACAAAGAGGAGGGTATGGGGGGACAGTCTGTCTTAGTCTGATTTCTGTTATTATAACAAAGTACCTGAGATCAGGTGATTTATAGATGATAGAAGTTTATTTAGCTCATGGTTCTGGAGGTGGGTAAATCCAAGAGCATGGTACCGACACTTGCTTGACATCTGATGAGGGTCTTTTTGCTGCATGATAAAATGGCAGAAGGCATCACATGGTAATTCTTTTCATTGTGAACTCACTAATGCCATCACAGGGACCCATCCGCATGACCTCATCTAATCTAAATATGTCCCAAAGACTCCACCGCCAAATTCCAATACCATGTGAATTTGAGGATTGAGTTTCCAACACATGCGCTTTTGGGGGAGACATCTAACCACTGATCATAGATCACCTTTTTCTTTATTTCATCTTTCTTTCATAGATCAGGCACAGATCATCTTTTTCTTCCATTTGCTCATTCTATATGAGTACTTTCGTGTCCAGATGAAAACCTCCACTTATGTAGAAGTCCATGGACTAAAAGCCTGACAGTCCAATACCGTGTGACTATTGGAAATTCAGCAATGATTGGAGGACATACAAGTTAAATACTTCACCTGACTGCGAGGGTAACATCAGAATGAATGTGTATCAAATGAAGGGTAAGATATAGAAAGGGAGTACTTTGAATATCTCATTATGGGGATTTTAGGTACAGTTAAATCAGTGCGAGATATAGAGTGAACCTAAATCACATTTAAGGTGTGGGATATCAGAATATCTTCTCGGTGTCTCATTAAATACATTTTATTTCATTTAAAAGAATTTTAACTGATT